TGAAGCAACGTCCTCCACAACTAGACTGAAGAACAAAAGGACAGCAACTTGTCTGTTCCCCTTCCCCCAATTCCCCAGTGCTGTTCTCATCCCCCAATTCCCCAATAAAAATATTTTAAGAAAAAAGAAAAAGAAAAGAAACCTGGCCCACAAACTCAGCCAGGTGATCAAGGTCAATGTAAACAGTGATAAGTCATGTGGCAGCATGATCCTGGGTGTGAAGGGGTGAGACAAGCCCTGTGCTCTGGGGTCTTCCTCCCAAAACCCATCACCCCAGTCTAACCATGAGAAACAGACCAGGCAAACCCCAATTTAGGGACTTTCTACAAAATCCCTGATCAGTCCTCCTGAAAACTGTGTAAGTCACCAAAAACAAGGAAAGTCTGAGAAACTGTCATAGCCCAGGGGAAGCTAAGGAGACATGACGATTAAAATGTCATGTGGATGGCTCAGCTAAAAAAAAAAAAAAAAAAAAAAGTGTCATGTGGGTTCCTGGATCAGATCCTGGGACAGAGGAAGGACATTAGGGGAAACAGAGGAAATCTGAATAGAGTATGGACTTTAGTTAGTAAGACTGTCACTGGTGTATTAATTTTGACAAATATACCGCCTAATGTCAGATGTTCATAATAAGGAAACTAGGGGTGGAAAGTAAGTATATGAGAAATCTACCTACTCAATTTCTCTGTAAATCTAAACTGTTTTAAAAATAAAGTCAAAGTAATTTTTAAAAAGGAAAACAAAATGAAAAGCCGCAAGCAGGCTGGATCTGATACCGCCCGCTGCCCAGGATGGCCCAGCCGCTGACCTCACTGTGGGTCCCGGGAAATCTGGGGCGTTAAGAATAGAACGCGAGAGGGAGCCCAGTTGCAGCCAGGTAAGAGCTTGCAGTGGTGACCCAAGGCACCAGACGTCAACGCCCCTAAAAGGCGCAGTCTGACCATTTCTCCTTAAAAAGGCACAATCTAGTAGATGACATTGTTATTCCAACGTGCCCACCCTGAGCCTGCAGATGCTGATGGAAGCAGCAGGCACAGTGGCTTATTCCTCTACCCGCTCCTGCAAAGGGCAGGCAGGTGAGGCCAGAAAGGAAAAGAAGCAGGAACCAGAGAAAAGGGCCAACTGTACCTAAAACACTGAGGCACCAGGAACTGCTACTGACTGGTGGCATTTCTGGGACTCCACAGGCATGGCCTCCCCAGCCCAGGTGGGGGTACCTGGGCCCCCTGGGTCCTATCAGCCACCCAGGGCTGACCCTTGGGGTGGGTCCTGATGGCTGGGCCCACAGCAGATCACCTTGCCCACTCTTTCCCTGGACCTGGGCCCAGGGTCCAAGAGGACTGGGTGTCATCTGGGCCAGAGAGGGAGGGAGCTCTCACCTATATGAGCTCGGTTACCTGGCCCAAGAGGGCTCAGCTCCTGACTCTGCCTACTGCTCCCGTGCCACAAGCACCAAGTGGCCCCCCAAAGGGGCCAGGCATCTCCTGCCACCCACTGAAGCCTGCAGGGGACTCTGTGCCCCTCACAGAGTGGGGAGGCCACCCAAAGCCTCAGAAGGACCCACTGACTTAAGCACTCTATAATCCCATCAGTATGAACTCGTGGGTTTTGAAAACTTTCTACACAAAGAGATGGACACAGATAAGTACAGACAGGCACAGATACACAGGTGGGGGTCACATGTCTAAGCTGTGTTGACTGACAGGCCTGAGAAACCATGACACCCCCAGCACTGAGCGTACTCAGTGGCCAGATCACACTTTTTCAACATCGTTCCCCGACATAAGGAGCCAGGCTCTTTGGATAAATGGTCGGCCGCAGGGTTGGAGCATGGAGCACAGAAGATGAGCCTGAGCATCTCGTGGGGCCAGGAGGAAGGAAGCCATCACTGCAGAGCACGGGAGCCAAACCAAAGGGACGCCCAACAGCCAAAGCAAGGACCACTAGGGCAACACAATATATAGTGACAGTGCTGGATTATAACCCACAGATAAAATAAATATGCATAGGTCTTTACTGGTATAAAATTAAAAAGGTAATATGAAGGGGGGGAAGGGACAGCTCTCTTCTACAAAAGAATTCTAATTCATAAATGGAGGCTGAGGGCAACACACGTCACCATGAGAAGGCCAGAGTAATAACATGCATATAATTGTTGTTGATCTGCAATCAATGGGCAGAAGTTTGAGGAAAAACATGGTGTTTCCATTGTCTGAAAGTCCCAAAGGGAAAAGGAGTAACCTTCACATGGAGACTCGTGGATGGCACCACCTTACCCAAGGGATCAATGCCGTAAGACATCAGTACACTCGCTGCACGGAGGCCACACCATCGCTGGGCAGCCTACCCCAAAATGCATAACCTCCATCTAATCATAAGGAAACACTGGACAAAGTTGAGAGACATTCTACAAAATCCCTGACCAGGGCTCTCCAAAAGTACAAGGTCGTGACAGACGAGGGAACATTGAGAAATGGTCCCAACCCAGAGAAGCCTGAGGAAAAGTGATGACTAAATGTGACACCAAGTCCCCCATGGGGCCCTGGAGCAGAAAAGGGACATGAGTGGGACGACCAGCGGAATCCTAATAAAATCCAGGGTTTGGTAAATACTATTCCTCCATGTTTCTTGCTTAGTTTGGGCCATTCTTCTGCAGTTATGTTGACATTCAGGAAGGTGGCTGAAAGGTACACGGGTACTCTATGTACTGTCTTTGCAACATTTCAATAAGTCTAAAATTATTTCAAAATAAAGTAAAAAAACTAAATTAAATTTAAAAACCCTCTACCTCTGTCCTCTGAAGCTCACTGCACAGCAGGTTTCAGCTGGAAGAGGAGAATCTGGCCGTAAAAAGATCCAAACTAATAAGAAAAAGCAAACTGACACACCACTACAATCCAGTTTCAGGACCGAATAAAGACCCAACCTACTGAATGCCAAGTTTCAGATCCTTCCGGTTTGAAAGAACTGAAGAAGTGACATTTTTCATCAACTTTGCACAGAGGGAGTAAAAGCCTTTTACTTACAAAATCTCACCACATCCTCCCAGACTCCAAAATCCAACGACTGCCGCCGTGGTGCGCACCCCAGGTTGTCTGGATCCCAACTAGGAAGGTTCTCGTCTCATTACGTGGAAATGTAAAAACACATAATTTTTCCTTAATGTCCACCCCTAAGCTTAGACATAACTCAGGGTGGCAAAGCTACAGTAATCACGACAATGTGGTACTGACCTAAGGATGGATGTAATGATAGAAGTTGACAGTCCAGAAATAAACCCGCACATTTAAAGTTGGTTGATTTTCAATGAGGCTGCCAAGACCATTCAAGGGGAAAGAAGAGTCTTTTCAACAATCATGCTGAGACAACGGGATATGCAGATGCAAAAGAATGAAGTTAGACCCTACCTCACACCATGGACAAAAATTAACTCAAGTGGATCATAGATCTGAATGCAAGGACTGAGGGCCGGCCGAGTGGCGCATTGGTTAAGAGCTGGCTTGGGACGCCAGAGGGCCCTGGTTTGGATCCCACATATGAGGGCCAGTGACACTGTCCTCTACAGCTAAGATGCTGCTGAACAACAGCTCAACCTGGAGCTGGGCTGCCGTCAGTCGCTGGAGACGGCGTAGGCTGCAGTCCCTGTGGCAGTGGGTTGCCATGGGCTACCGTGTGTAGCTGGCAGCCAGCGTGAGCGGCCAGCAGCCGCTGTGATAGGCCGTCCAGAAGCCGGCGACTGATCTGCCTCGCCTGGGAAGAGCACAATGATGGTGCCAACTTGGGCCAGTGAAGCAACGTCCTCCACAACTAGACTGAAGAACAAAAGGACAGCAACTTGTC